ACATACAGAGAGAGAGACAGACAGACAGAGAGACATACAGATAGACAGAGAAACAGACAGACATACAGATAGACAAACAAATAGACATACAGACAGACAGAGAGACAGACAGACATACAGATAGACAGACAGACAAATAGACATACAGATAGACAGACAAACAAATAGACATACAGACAGACAGACAGATAGATAGACAGACAGATAGACAAAATCTGTGACAATTCAGGGTAATATTACGTTAAGATTATTTTAATGACTGAAAATGTGTAACAAACACTCACAGCTGTATTTGTTTACAACACGTGATACGGTCTGTATGGGAAAAGTCAGAGGTCTGTCTCTAATATTTATGGGACAGGTGAAGGAAAAGCAGGTGGTCGGGTTGGTTATGTTGATGGAAGTTAGCCTATTTTCAGGTGCTGCGTAATATCATTGCGCCTGCTGCACCCATGGTACGGCAGCAAAGGTCCTTGATTATTACGCCGGAATGAGAGTATAGTTCCTAGCCATATCGGCCTAGAAAATCGCAACTTTTCATTTTCCGTCGGTCTTAGTACACGATGTAACTACAGAAGAGTCAAGTTTTAAATAGGAAAAATATAGAAACTCTTTGGTCATTTTTGAGCGAGATGCTAACGGTCCAATCAGATTCAATGATCTATGCTAGAGTGAGTAAATAATGACAGAATTAAAATTTTTGGGTGAACTATCCCTTTAATGACAAGCGGCAGCATGTTTACTACAATCAGTCTGCTGTTGCTTTAAGAGCGGCATGTATCTAAAATACAGGCAGGCATCCGTTTTTCTCTCAACTGTTAACTTTCACTTTAACATAACCAACTGTGTTTATATGTAAACCTTGTGTGTTTCTGACAGTATTAGCGCAATCAGACGCGAAAGATAACTTAGTCCAGTAATCAGGCGCTGTTTGACAGGCTTTTCAGCGTGCACACGCTTCGGGTGTACGCGCTCAGAAAAAAAGGCATGTCAGAACAGCACGCGAATGAAATGTTTAACCGGCAAGGCATGCAAATAATGCTGTCAATTATTTTGTCGGTGAAATGTAGGCCCCGTCCACACGGAGACGCCTTTAGCTGTATACGCATAAATGTTGTATCGTATAGGCGTTTCGTCCACACGCATCCGGCGTTTTGGGAGAGTGAAGCCGATATTTTATATAAATCTGAAAACGCCGCCCTTGTGTTTTCGTGTGGACAGCGAATCCGTATATGACACACACATTCTTAAATTCTCCTGATTAATCCTATTTCTTTAATGTATTTAACAATAGCTATGCGCATAGTCCAAGTCTTCTTATCCGTTTTTAGTGAATCTCTGAGGCAGAATTACAGCGCCACATGCTGGTCTGGCATGTATACTACATCGTTTTGTGTCGGTTTTGTGGTTTCGTGTGGACGCAGATATTTCTTGAGACGAGGGGGAAAAAAAGATCGGATAGGGAAAGCTCTGGCTTCGTGTGGACGTAGCCGTAGTCTAATCTAGCCCTTTCTTCACCATCATAACAAGCAAAAGTCTGTTGTTAACCAAAAGAGGGCGCTGTTGCACAATAAATTAAATGCTGACCCACCATTTACTGTAATGGAAGAAAATAACTAAATAACTCCAGACAAATGCATAAAATGCGAAAGCATTTCATAATCACGTCCCATAAAGTTACACAGTGTTTAGTGTGTCTTTTCTAAGTAGGCGAGGATAGATTATATCAACTTAATCCAAACTCTCCTTTCAAGGTTAATAACAAGAGTTTGGATATTCGAGGCGACAAAATCTGTGACAATTCAGGGTGATATTACGTTAAGATTATTTTAATGACTGAAAATGTATAACAAACACTCACAGTTGTATTTGTTTACAACACGTGATGCGGTCTGTATGGGAAAAGTCAGAGGTCTCTAATATTTATGGGACAGGTGAAGGAAAAGGCAGGTTTGTGGCACAATATCGAATCAAAATAGTTATATGGCTTATCCCTTTAAGCTAAAAAATCGACTTCTAAAAAATTCTCTCTCTCTCTGTACCCGCCCTATTTGTCTTCCACCGCCCCCATCCACTGCAACATTCAGGCAGGTTCACCTAATGTTCTTGTGCCGCTGCTGTATTGGGAAATACTCGGTGAATCGGGAGCGTTCAGAGTTCTACACTTCTACACTACAGACCCTGTAGAACAACACGACAGACATGGCAGATCCCATGAACCAATCTTCTCAGATTTCGTCGTCACACGGCCTTAACGATGGACATTCTGCATCGTCCAAAGACTCGAAGTTTTCCGGTAAGAGAACGTGAAAGTCATACAACAGTTTCGTTGATTTTTTTAATGTTTGTTTTTTAAGTTTAGACGGTGTATTTACCGATATTCTAAACGGAAATGCATTTTGCGCTGAATAGCGACAGACATGGCAGATCCCATGAACCAATCTTCTCAGATTTCGTCGTCACACGGCCTTAACGATGGACATTCTGCATCGTCCAAAGACTCGAAGTTTTCCGGTAAGAGAACGTGAAAGTCATACAACAGTTTCGTTGATTTTTTTATGTTTGTTTTTTAAGTTTAGACGGTGTATTTACTGATATTCTAAACGGAAATGCATTTTGCGCTGAATAGTGCGTTTAATGACAATACCAGTTGATAATAGTGTAATTCAGATCGATTTGAATGAATGCACATGTTTAAAATGCCTTGAAGGTAATACTGTGTCTCTCTGGCGTTATGTGATAGTCTTGCACTGTTTATTTCTCACGTACACTTTCCATATCGCCTCCTTTTGGGCTTAGTAGGAAGATTTTTGGCGTTACACTTTGCAGGCATAAATGGCACGGCGGATGTGGGACTCCGAATGAATGTGTTCTCATCCACAGCTTTGACCTGACGTTTATTTTTAGGAAAAGGCCACGAAGAAATATGGGGACACATAATACCCCTTTGAACCCATGGGCACATGTTGCGGCTCAGCTGATGATCTGCACTGCAGATGCATCCGAAACTGGAAGACAGTGTAAATGAAGGAAGAACCCACATACACACCCCATCTACAGGGCCAGCGACGTGACAAGCTAGAATAATCAACCTAGCTGTCTAGAACCGATTATGGATCGTTCTTTTGAGTCGGATCTGGTCAAAGAATCAATTGAATGTTCAGAACTGAACAGATTCGAACCTAGAAACGTCACGAATAGTGTATATGTTTAAATTAGGTTTTAATTAATTTAATTATTAGTGCATAATAGTGCTCTTAAGTAGTTTGTTTTTATGAACTGAATCATGGGTGCGATATACTAAACTGGGACATATTAAATTAAAATAAACTGGTTTGTTAATAAAAAATAAAAGATTGCGTACGTCTGTATTGGGACGTTTAAATATGCCAAGTCAGGGTGACGTAATTATGTCATGGCTTAAAATAATTCTCTAGGTTCTTTAAAATGGACAGTGTGAAAGAATCTTTTCGAAAATGAGTCCGAATTACCATGTCTACTGTCCAAGTCCAAGTATGCAAAGATTGATTTGTTAATCAATTGTTCTCGCTTGTCACGTTGCTTGCAGTTTACAGTAAATACGGTATTAAAGGCTATATATACATACTTACATGTGTGTGTGTAATATATATATATATATATATATATATATATATGTATGTATGTATATGTGTGTGTGTGTGTATATATATGTGTGTGTGTGTGTATGTATGTATATACAGTATATATATACACACACACACACACATATGTACGCACACACACGTAATAAATGCAGTTAATTTTGCCCATATTTACACGTTTTCAGTCGTTCTTTAGAAATGACTCCCTGTCCTTTGTTCAGTTCCTGTATACTTTTCCATAGTGAAAACAATGCTGCATGGTTTTTGTTGACGGGATGTTGGTTCAGTGCTTTTCAGGTCGTCAGCATATGTGAAGCGCTTCTGGTCTCTTCAGTTTAGCTTCATTAAGGCGTCTGGGAATCTAATAGAATTAGAGCGTGTAGTTAAGACTCATGACTTCACCCTGCTCTGAATTTTCAGCACTCTTTTAAATCGTTTGATGCCTTCAAATGTTTTTTTTTTTTTTTTTTTTTGAGCACATTGACTTCAGTTAGTTATCAGAATCTGAATATTGCTAGAGGGATGTAGACATGATGACTGGCTTACAGGCTTACTATCACAGACACCATATGTGAAGGTGACATATTGGACCAGATGGTTAAATTTAGCTGCAATGGCCCTCCAAGGCACAATCTGAGATGCCTGTGTGTGTGCCATTGTCACTGGACAGATCATAACGTTACACATTAAAAGCCTATATGTAAATATAAGGTATTAAATGATGCCATACCTAGCCAAATGTTGTTTTAATCCAAAATTCTAGAATATATTCAGGTTAAGCTCAATCAATAGAATTTGTAGTTGTGAATTGACAGTTATGTTCTTTAATTTGGAAATCTATGAAGCAAGCATGCAATTTTTGCTCCATAGGCTTCTTTTGCAAGTGCATTTGTTTACAAGTCAATGATTTTTTTTTAAATTATGACTATGGGAAGTTGATTCACAAATTACCTATTATTTTTATTGTTTAAAATAGATTTTAGGTAAAAATGTAAATACATAAGTGAAATTGTATATTTCATGTGTTATTGTTAGTCACTTTATTTTCTTGTTCCCTTTTTTGTTGGTTCATTTTGATTGATATTTCAAGTAGTCTTTTAGATTTATTTAAATTAATGTAACTTAAATTATTATAACTAAAGCTACATGCATATCAATGAGAGAGAGAGAGAGAGTTATGCATGCAGCTTTAAAATGTATACATGCAATTAACATTTGCATTTTGCAAACTACCATAGTTCGTGTCAACATTCCAAAAGTATTTTGTCAGCCACCCCTAGATGTTTTTGGTAGACCTTAACTTGTATTCAACCCAGAAAAATCTGTTAAAAATATGTCATGCTATATGAGAACAAGAGATCATATTTAAATCAAATTCATCTAGTGAAAACAATGCTGCATGGTTTTTGTTGACGGGATGTTGGTTCAGTGCTTTTCAGGTCGTCAGCATATGTGAAGCGCTTCTGGTCTCTTCAGTTTAGCTTCATTAAGGCGTCTGGGAATCTAATAGAATTAGAGCGTGTAGTTAAGACTCATGACTTCACCCTGCTCTGAATTTTCAGCACTCTTTTAAATCGTTTGATGCCTTCAAATGTTGTTTTTTTTTTTTTTTTTTGAGCACATTGACTTCAGTTAGTTATCAGAATCTGAATATTGCTAGAGGGATGTAGACATGATGACTGGCTTACAGGCTTACTATCACAGACACCATATGTGAAGGTGACATATTGGACCAGATGGTTAAATTTAGCTGCAATGGCCCTCCAAGGCACAATCTGAGATGCCTGTGTGTGTGCCATTGTCACTGGACAGATCATAACGTTACACATTAAAAGCCTATATGTAAATATAAGGTATTAAATGATGCCATACCTAGCCAAATGTTGTTTTAATCCAAAATTCTAGAATATATTCAGGTTAAGCTCAATCAATAGAATTTGTAGTTGTGAATTGACAGTTATGTTCTTTAATTTGGAAATCTATGAAGCAAGCATGCAATTTTTGCTCCATAGGCTTCTTTTGCAAGTGCATTTGTTTACAAGTCAATGATTTTTTTTTTTATTATGACTATGGGAAGTTGATTCACAAATTACCTATTATTTTTATTGTTTAAAATAGATTTTAGGTAAAAATGTAAATACATAAGTGAAATTGTATATTTCATGTGTTATTGTTAGTCACTTTATTTTCTTGTTCCCTTTTTTGTTGGTTCATTTTGATTGATATTTCAAGTAGTCTTTTAGATTTATTTAAATTAATGTAACTTAAATTATTATAACTAAAGCTACATGCATATCAATGAGAGAGAGAGAGAGAGTTATGCATGCAGCTTTAAAATGTATACATGCAATTAACATTTGCATTTTGCAAACTACCATAGTTCGTGTCAACATTCCAAAAGTATTTTGTCAGCCACCCCTAGATGTTTTTGGTAGACCTTAACTTGTATTCAACCCAGAAAAATCTGTTAAAAATATGTCATGCTATATGAGAACAAGAGATCATATTTAAATCAAATTCATCTTCACAGTATATCAATACTGTATTTTGCTTTGTCAGAAAACTGTCTCTCTCGCCCTCTCTCTTCTGTCTGGGCATGATCCCTAAGGTCAATACAGCTGGCTGAGGCAGCACTCTTAAAGATTTAGGTATCATGATTCAGTCCCCTCAGGAATAGAGCTGATATTGCTGGCATGACAGAAATGCCACACAGGCTCTTCCAGAGTCAGAGGCCAATCCAGTTCCACTTTAAGCATTGCCCTGTAACACAAGCCATCTTGGTGCATTTAACCTCTGCCCTTGCAGTAGATGGTATCTAGCTATCAGATCCTTGAATGTTGGATTACTACACCTTATTTCCTTATTAAATGTTTGTCGGCTAAACATGACCAACCAACCGTCATAGGATATCAGAATGTGATGCCATAATTGCACCACTTGGTTACTGCTGTCACAAAAAAATGAAGCAGATTCTATATGGCTGACTCATAAGTGGGGGGAAAAAACTTCAATCAAGATGACAGAGGGTGTGTGGATTTGTCAGAGTTTTGGTGTCCACATCAATGGTGCAAGGTGTGTCGCTTATTAAAAAGCATTTGGGTGTGGTTTGGGCAAGGAATGCCGTGAAGCAGGGGTACACTCCTTATTTGTGACCAGTAGAGCTTGCCCTGTGTAAGACTGTTGTGCTACTCGATCAACCTGTTCTCTTTAACTTTCTCACCACTCTCGCTGTTGACACTCCATGTTCGTGTTGAGATTCCAGAGTAGATTCATCCAATTTGGTTGACCTAGTGTTGCCTCTACAGCTTGATGATTGACCAAACTGTTGAAAGTGGCTTCTGGATGAATTCAGATATTGTTTGCTTCCAAATCACATGAATTTTTGAAGTGTGGCTGGCTGAAAATGGCTTCCCTTAACAGGTTACATAACACAGTGGTGCAACATGTGGGTGCTTTGCAGGGTTAGATGTCAGAAAGAATGGGAGGGATCATTGAAAATTCCATGAGAAAATTCCACCATTTGACTGTTGTAAGTATTGTACACCATGCAGCTGGATCATCGAAGAATGTTGGGTATATGATTAGTTCTGTTTGTACAGAAAAAAGTGCCATTATAGGTAGTTGATGCAAAATATTTTTATGATTGCTTTGTGTATAATAGACATGAAAATAACGTCATGTTAAAATTTATATTAATGTATAAGCAAAAGTGTTTATTTTAGGTACTGTGACACCATTTATTTTGTTCCACCCCCACCCCACCCCCCTTTTAAATCACTTTTATGGAAGTTTTAACAAACTTAAAATAGTAAATCAAATGTTCAAACTATCAAATATTTAATCATATTCTAAAAATGGATGCTCAAATGATAAATCAAATACAATTTAATTTCTTCATTTGTAGTAACGAACTATAGCAAAAATAATATGAAATATAATTTGATATTTGTTTTTCATTAACAATTAATTAAAGCCATATTATCATAATTAAAGCTATAATTCAGTGCTCATACTATAAAGTTGAGAACTATCGGTGACCATTTTGATCATTTAATTTATTTCTTTTTTTAAATTTATTTTAGCATTTGAACATTTTATTTATCATTTTAATTTTTTCAGGAAAAACTTCCATACACTTTTTTTTGCCTTCACCAGTGTTACAAATAGATTTTTAGAAGTACAGTATTCTATGTAGTCTTTCAAGTAATATAAGGTGCATGCATAAAAGAATGAGGATTGTTTTTTTGAAACCGCTTTAAAAAGATTAGATCATCTCACACCATCAGTAATGGTTGATTATCTCATAGATATTTATCTAACTTACTTTTTTTGTAGATTAAAGGGAAAGGTTACCAAAAAAGTACAGTTCTGTAATTATTTACTCACTCTTATGTTATTCCAAATCTGTATAACACAAAAGAAGATCTTTTGAAAAATGTCTCTCTTGTCTGTACATTGAAAGCCAATGAGGTCCAATGTTGTTTGGACATTTTTGTAGTCCGCAGAAGAAAATTGCTCAGGTTTAGAACGATATATGAGGGTGAGAAAATGATGACAGATTTAATTTTTTGGGCCAACTATTCCTTTCAGTCATGTAACTTGTTGAGGTAAGCGCTTAGTTATTTGCTGTCAGCTCTTTTTTTTTCTAGATTCTTGAGATGTAAAAGGTGCTTCGCTGGGCATTTCACTAACATGTTCCCCTTTCAAATGTAGAGTATAAGAAGGATACTGAGACTTCTCATTCTTCTGTCCTATTTTATTTTTTCAGATTCCTTTTTTTCTTCGCCTGTATCTCTCATTCAGTCTCCTCAAGGCAAGTGTATAGTTCTCTTATGATGCTCGCCTGCTTCTCTACCTTATATCTTTCTCTCCATGCTCCTCTGTCATCTCTGTTCTATTAAGTATGCTATATCCCGCTGGGCTGCTGCTATGACGCTCTCCATCCCTCTCGCCAGTGACCCTCTCCTCCTCTATACCAGACTAGATGCTCTCAGTAAGGGCTTCTTTTGGAGTTCTTCCTTTTAGGAGTAGGAAATGAAGCAGAGGACACCGAAAGAAGCTACCAATTGTTTCACGGAAACCAAAAGAATTAGATCCTTATCTCTGAAGCTAGAAGCCAACCAATTTTTGTGGAATATTATCAGAATGTCCTCTCCTTCAATCTGTATGGTCTTGATAACTCTGTTCTTACCTAAACATTAACAATCAAGCTCATAGTTAGTCTCACACCTGCACGCCACTTAACCGTGTACTGTGCAGTCCAACCACCCTCACTGACCAGTTTTGTAACAAGACCCTTGCTGTTTCTAATGGCGACCCCCTTGCAATCATGCATGTTGGAATCAATAATAACAGCCAAGTCCCTCCTGTTTTCAACAGTTTCTGAAATCCTCAAACTTGGATTCACTTCATGAATGCTCTTCAACTGAGGTCATCCAAATTTCTATGGCTGATCTTCTAATGTCTTATTTGATCCAACACGGTCTCTACTTGACTCTGTAAATGCAGACTTTTATCAACAGTACCCTGTAATATATGGTTAAAAAGGGCAAAAAAGTTGAACGTAGCCAGTCCTGGCAATAATTTGTGGCTACCACCTCACATTTAACATTAGTATCCCCTGTCATTTCGTCAGCAACCCACATCTGACAAGGTTCACAGATTAAAAATGGGAAAGCTAAGTCCCCACAGATGCTAGAAATTCAATCGGCTCCAGTCTATACCCACTGCAAACATGATTTAGGTCAGCGTTACTGTGGGTCCAGCTTAATCCCAAGATTGCCACCTTATTTTAAGATAGCAGAGAAGTTCAAGTTCACTTTGTGCAAGAGCAGAATCCTAAAAAGGGATCAGGTTGGTGTCCCTGAGGATTCTTGTCCTTGATGTCCCCCCTCCCCTACAACAAGCCGTGTTTGGAGCTACACCCCCAACACCACACTGGTCCTGAAGGTAGAACGCCACTGGGGAGGGATCTAGCAACAGGACACTGCTCGGGGTTGCATCCCCATGACTGCTGCGGCTGACTCTTCACCTGCTTTTTCCATGCATTTTGCATGTTGTCTTTTACCACAGAGTAAGAGGAAATCCAAAGGTTTCAGTCTTTTTGTTTGTGTTTGTTTGCTCTTTTGTTTTTTTGTCTATTTACTTTCAGGATTTTGATCATCGTAGAAATGATGTATAAAGCATTAGCATAAAGTAGATTTTGAGTAAATCCTTCACACTGTGTTGAAGTCTTCAGATATCATAGGTATCCCTTGAATGTTTAGAATGTCATTACCTTGAAGAAATTTATTTCAGTTGATAATGTCTGCCATTTAAAACTTTTGTTTAAATACTTTGTTGATTATGTAAAATATTTAGCTTTTTTTTTCATAAAGATTGCCAACCAAAGTGTTTTGATCTCTGCAATCTGGTCTGAATAACTTTACTTTTTAAACGACTCATCATAATAGTGTTGCTTAGTTTGCACAATGAGTACTTAACCATACCAGAATCTTTAAAATAAAAAGTGTTAAAGTTGAAACAGTGTTGAGCAATAACATGTAAACTGACATGTAACGTACAATAAATTGCATTTTGTCTATATTATATTCCTATAAATTAAATCTATTTTCAGAAGGCTTTACTCTGACTGGGTAGGCCCTATAATCACAATATGGAGAAAATACTAGTTCCTGTCAGTTGCAGTGCAACTAGCAGAAATGTAGCCTACAACATGCAAATTCAAGGATTATATCTTACAGTAAAACCAGTAAATGGCAGGTTTGGAAAGGGACAAAATGATCAGGATGTTAGAATGTGGTAGTGACGGTGTGTCATGTTACAGATGTACCTGTAGTCCCTCTAGAACCTGTTTTATCACCCTATCTGAGAGTCAGGAGAAATTATTAAACTTAAAAATATTGCTTAGCATATGTGACACAAACATTGTATTCAGATGTGCCTTGTTACCTGCCTACCTTCACATAGTCAAGTGCCTGTGAAGGCAGACTTTGTCAGCTTTCTTACACAGCCATTGTGTTGCATGGTAAAGTGGTCAGAGTTTCCTTTTTCAACATGTCCAGCATTAATTTTGCTGTATTCCTTGTGCTCTTATAATTCTGGCCTCATTGTGTCATCTACACCATAATGTGATTTCTTTATCATCTCCCTTTTTTGAGATGGTTTGATAGTTGAGGCATGGTTTAGACAGCCCTGTAGTCGAAGCCACAATAACAGTGCTTTAATCATTTAACAAATTATTATTTTTTTTTAATTTTACTGAGGGTATTCAGTACTACTTCTGTTTGTTTGTCTGTTTTAATTGTTTCTTTGTTTTGGGGGGTGTTTGATTATGGATGTCATCTGAAGTAAACAGTTCCATTCAGAGGCACTGTGTGTGTCATTGAGATTCCTCAATGGTATCAGCACATTGTCAAGCTGGCATGCAGACATCAAACTCCATCCATTAATATGTGGAACCATGCAGTTGTGTGCATGATCGCTTTAGCTTCAGTTAAATGGATGCAAGCAAATTAAGCATCTTGGGAATGCTCCATAAAGTTCCAAAGTAGCTGCTGATTGCTAAAGTTGTTGGGATCTTCGGCTTTGAAATTTTAATGATCTTAATTTGTTTAAACAAACCTATACGAACCTGAGCTTCAGCATGTTCCCCTGCTTTAGCAAATCGGAATTAAGGTAAAGTATGCCTTGATCTTTATTTCCAACCCTCCTTTTCCTCCTCTTTCCTGCTGCATGATGGATGCAGACAAAAGAGTGGTACTGGGCTCTGACAAACCTTCAGAGAATTTGGCCACATCTCTTCGCTTTTCTTCTCAGTCAAGTTCCTTTTCACCAGTTGCTTATGGAAGTGACTCTTTAGGATCACCTGGTGACAACATAGATCATACCATCAAAGAGAAATGGGAGCTTTTTGATTCATCTTTTGGCTCTCAAAAGCAGGACTCCCCTATAAAGACATCCCCAGTGTCTGAGAGAATCAAAGCACTAGAAGCTTTAGCTGCAAAGCAGAATGATTTTGAAAGAAGTGATGGGGGGGTTCCACATTTTAAAGAGCGTCACTATGAGAAGTCCCCTATTGAATCACATGGAATTTCCTCCCGCTTGTCCTTCCAGAAAAGGACATTATCAAATGAGCAGGAATCTTCAGAATTACCCTTTCAGAAAAGGAAAATGTCAAGTGAGCAGGAATCTTCAGAATCACCCTTTCAGAAAAGGACCATGGCCAATGAGCAGGAATCTCCAGAATCACCCTTTCAGAGAAGGACTGTGTCAAATGAGCAGGAATCTCCAGAATCACCCTTTGAAGTGCTTGGAGAGGAAAGGCATGGAAGTGACTTTGAGGACACCGCTGACTGGATGAGAGCTCACTTACCTCCAGCACCAGATTTCAACATTGAAGATCCTGATCTTGATGAGGGAAATGATTCTCCTGTGGTGCAAGAGAGCCCATCCAAAGTGATGACACCAAACAGTGTTGATACAGCAGAGGTTCCAGAACCTTTTGCAGGAGTTCCTGATCAGTTTATGGACAGTCCTGTCAAAGTGACAGATGACATCAATCATTCAAAGGATGATGACAACAAGCAATCAAAACAAGAGAGTGTTGAGGAAGATTCTGAATTTGACCTGAACTTTTTACCAACAGCCTATATGTGGGACAAACAAGAGAAAGCCGATATGGGCACTCAAGGCTATCAGATATTCCCTGACAATCAAGAGCTTCCTTCCTCTCCTGCTCCTCCTGCAGATTTTGAGTCTCCATCACCCCTTGTGTCCCAACAGATGGAGCCTAGTTCTGCACAACGTTCCAATATTTCGAAGGGAAACTTGGAGCCTGCTGAAATCCAAGAGATAGACAGCTCTGGGGAGTCAGATGATACAGTGATTGAGGAAACCATTAGCATCCCAACAGTGGGAAATAATGGCCTTGGCACCAAAACCCACAAGGAAGAGGAGACCGTTCCAAACAATGAAAAACAGCTAATACAAGTACCTATTATTAACGTTATTGAAACCGAGGAACAAGTTTTAAGTGATGATGAAGAACCACTTGAGGTGGAAGGAGAGGTGGAGGAGGAGGATGGAGAGTGTCAGATATTGCAAGGTGAAGGCAAAAGGTCATCCGAGCAACACGACTCAGAGGTTCCAGAAAAAGTATCTGTGGAAACTCTACATGATGAGCGTAAACCTGACCATGGCATTTCCTCTCAGACAAATCAAACCAGCTCTGATGCTGAGCACTCTCCTGAACACAAGGTGATTGAAGATGATTATGAAAGTGGCATTTTTCTCCAGTCCTCTCCAGACTCCGGATGCCTAAATTCAGAGGACTCTCAAGAGCTTATGTTTCAGAATTTAGTGTCCTTTGAACCCCTTAAAGAGTCATCCCTTGATAAAGACCTTGACAAGACCGCAGAAATACTTTCTGACCTTCCCCCTGACATCAGTTCCCCCTCAAATGAGCCCAGTGATGTAGAGACTTACCTGGATCATTATGCCAGTGAAGAGCTTGCTTTAAAAGACCAATTGAATTCGTCTTATTTTAAGGAGATTAAAGGTGAGAAAATAGAACTTTTAAAGACGAGCTGTCTTCCAGATAATCGAAATACAAATGTTCAAGAATCCTTTGAACATATTACTGATGATTTCAACGAGACACTCAACGAATGCAGGCTAGACTATGAATCTGTGCCTGAGCCTTCTCTATCTGACCTTTCATCTTATATTCCTGATGATATTGAGACTACTCTCCTTCAAAACAAAATGCCAAGTGTTGATTCAGAAGATCAAATGTCAGCAGTAGAAATCAAGGATTCAACCTTGCAGGAACAGGAGGAGTTGCCAGTCCAGTCCATTGATCAACAACCACCAGTTCAAGAGAAACCACCTGCACCATTTCCCTCTTTTCACAATGAGCAGTCTAGCAAAATCATTGACGATATTTCTGGCCCTATGGCAAATGAGGTTACTGAGGGATCAGTGATAACTAAGTCTGAACCTCGAGTTGTGACCACCAAAGATCTTTTAGATAGACCAGATTCGCCAGAGACCCTGAGTGATACAGAGACGTTTGAAGCAGAATGTTCAGTAACCGCAGCGACTGACAGCTTTGTGGAGTTCATGAGGGAGTGTCTTAAGTCACAGCAGGACGAGGAACCTGAAGTCCTCAGTCCTGGACTCAAAACTATAGACCAGAAACCCAAATCTGATGCTTCTGCTTCCACTCAGTCCTCCCCAGCAATGATTATGGACTTGGAGCAGGAGCGCCTCACAATTTCGGCTTTGAAAGAGCTCGGAAGCAGCCAAGAGGAGGAAGACATGAATATTCCCACCATGAAGACTGTCCTAAAGCCTGATAAAGCTCCACTTCCTACACCTAGTGCTGAGGCCTCAGTCACCTCATCTTCTCTCACTCCTCAAAACGAGTACCAGCCTGATGCCTTACTTCCCAAAGAGGTAGAGGCAATCGACATTTGGGTAGCAGAGGCCTACCACCTTGCAGAGCATGTCTTGACAGCAATACTAACCCACCTTACAGGTAACATGTCTTTCTTCTGGGCAAGCAGCCTGCTAACCCTGCATGCATAGTACTGTACGCCCAGACACTAGACCTTACTTACCTCTTTTACTTTATAATTCAACTTTAATTTACTCAACTCTAACCTATAAGAATGCTTCTGAAATTATGGCAATAAGTAACATTTAATAGCCTTTTGGAGATTACAAATGGCTTGTTTGTTGTGAGGCAATATTTAATTGTGATACAAAATATATATATTAGTTAAGACCAGTCATATCATTAAATGTACTGACTTGTATTTTTTTCAGACATGTATCATGACCTTAAAAACATGATGGTACAATATTAAAAGTGCTAAGTATAAACATTCCTGCAGAGTGGCTACATGCACAGCCCTTGAGGTCAGGTCACACAGTTTATATCTTGTCTCAGGTTTCATCTTTTTATGTAACCTTCAGGAAGGCCATCGGGAATGAAGTCAGGGTGAATGTGTCCTTTAACAGGAGTAGCATTTTCTTCCATTTGGCAGTTAGTAGGCTATTGTTATGTGTATACTCATCTGGTGTGACACGAGAGAAAGTGATGCAGAATAATCTGTTTTGTGCAATAATTTCCACTTAAAGGGAGAAATGCTTGGCCTTTACCATAAGGACAATGGTATTACAAAAGCAGTTTGATTAAATGAACTAAATTTAAGAAGTTTCAGTTTTACCTGAAAGATAAAGCTGTAATTAAAACTGCATTCTAATAGACTGTCAAAATATGAATTTAAGCATATATATTTCCCCCCTTTGGTTTTGCTGACATGAAATGCGAATTTATCACATATGGCCCAGTAGAACACAGTTGTTTCACAAATATGCTGAAGGAAAGGTCCAACTCCTGACTCATCTAAAGCACATACTTTTCCTGCATGCCTTCATTTACCATGAATGACTCTGTTATAGGGCTGTGCAATTAATCGCATGCGATTGTCATGCACATCTCGTCAGTAAAGCCAGTTCCGTGATTAGTAGTAAATCTCCATCACCTGCTTTCAGATGGAGCGGCATGTGTATACTCATCTGGTGTGACACGAGAGAAAGTGATGCAGAATAATCTGTTTTGTGCAATAATTTCCACTTAAAGGGAGAAATGCTTGGCCTTTACCATAAGGACAATGGTATTACAAAAGCAGTTTGATTAAATGAACTAAATTTAAGAAGTTTCAGTTTTACCTGAAAGATAAAGCTGTAATTAAAACTGCATTCTAATAGACTGTCAAAATATGAATTTAAGCATATATATTTCCCCCCTTTGGTTTTGCTGACATGAAATGCGAATTTATCACATATGGCCCAGTAGAACACAGTTGTTTCACAAATATGCTGAAGGAAAGGTCCAACTCCTGACTCATCTAAAGCACATACTTTTCCTGCATGCCTTCATTTACCATGAATGACTCTGTTATAGGGCTGTGCAATTAATCGCATGCGATTGTCATGCACATCTCGTCAGTAAAGCCAGTTCCGTGATTAGTAGTAAATCTCCATCACCTGCTTTCAGATGGAGCGGCATTTACTACACAGAGCTGTAGTTCACTGACAAGCTACACAAAATCGGGTTCATAATCGCAGGCGATTCGATCTGCGATAATGAGCTCGATATTGCCTAATTGTCAGTGAACTACGGCTCTGTGTAGTAAATGCCGCTCCATCTGAAAGCAGGTGATGGAGATTTACTACTAATCACGGAACCGGCTTTACTGATGAGATGCGCATGACAATCACATGCGATTAATTACACAGCCCTACTCTGTTATGATGTTTACATTTATGCTCTTAGCAGACACTTTCTTGATAATGTACAATCAGGTTTCTGTTAAGGCTACATGATTAACAACACAATTCATTTCTAAAATAATAAGAATATATTATATTATAATACTTTTGTTTGTAGAACCTGAATGTTTTTTTAAATTATTTTATTTATTGTAGGATACATATCCAAAACAAACTGAGAATGTTTTTCTCAATTATTTTTAATGCTGATGTTTGAGCCTACGAAGACTCCCATTGTGATCAACAAAGTTAATGGAATAAATTTGCTTTTCACAATGAGCTATTCACAGATAATTTTATAATTGTGCAGCCCCAGTTTCGCTATTAAAGAGTAATAGATACTTGGGTATTTACTAAAAAGACGATGAACACTAAAATTTTCTTAACACTTTACTATGTGTATCAATTTGTTAACATTAGTTAATGCATGAGGTATCATATACAACTGTTTTTTTACCTAATTTATTAATACAGGTTAATGGTCATTTATGAATATACTATATTGCTATAAATATATTCTTTTGTTGTTAATTCATGTGTTAGTATATATATATATATATATATATATGTGTGTGTGTGTGTGTGTGTGTGTGTGTGTGTGTAGAAATTCACATTAACAAATGCTGTAAATGTAACTGATGTTTATGAATTTAACCTTCCTGTAAAGTGTTACCAATTCATATAGACAGTAATTCATTTCTTGTGCCAGTTGCCAGATATATTTGTAATAGAGTAAGTGGGTTATTTAACCGATCTAGAGCATATTCTTTGTCTCACTTTTCTGTCTCTACTTGAGTTGTTTGGGTGAGATTTTTGCAACTTGGTATTTCAGCTGTCAATCACCTAAATACAGCTGACTGAGAGCTTTCCAGTGGTGTGAAAGTTTTTTTTAATGGGTGCGGCGGTTTCCTGATGGGTTTGTCAGAGCTGTAGATAATAGCGTGTGGTTGTGTGAACTGTAGCATAGGTTTGGCTAATCACTGTACTCAATTATGTATTTATATGTATATGAAACTACAAATAAATATTCACATTAGGCATTAGAATTTTTCCAAATTGTCTGCCCTGTAAAATGTAGCAGTTTAATTTCATTTGAGACTTTAAAAGGATGAGAAGCAAGTGCAAACATTTTAAGCACACTGAAACAGACCATAGTGTATAAATATGGCCAATAGCCTTTAAATAACTGACCTCATTAGGTTTTCATTGCATGAAAATTGGCTCACACCGTTCGTTTCTGAACAGACAAATGAGCACTCACTGTGATAAGGAAAAACTGGAATTTTTAGCTGAAATTTTTGTATTTGTGTGCGATGGGTGATTTCATGCATGACTCTTAAATGATTCATATACACGTTGACTCTTACATGGTTTCGCACAGTTGCATTAGATGGTGTATGTACCTTTAAGAGTCGAGCTGTGCAAGAACTAAAAGAGGCCACTGCGGCTCAGCAGCCACTGGGACATGCTGTTATATCTGGGTCCACTAACGCCAGCGAGGGAGGGAGGAAATGATAACGAATAACTGTTCTCAGCCGAGGCTGCCTCCCTGTGGGCACTGGCAAAGCATGCTGGGAGGGACTCAGACCCCTGCAGTGAGCAAGAAGGAAACCCCTCACATGCACTGAGCGTTTTAGCCCCCGAGCTGTGAGTGGACAAAAACAATGGTGCTCTGAATCATTTGCCACACATCATTGTGCTGTAGTTATGTCACGTTGACTGTTGAATCTTTTTTCCCTCTGGTTGCTCAAGAACAGTTATTCTTGTTTTTCACTTTTTACCCGCTTCCTCTCTCAAAACATTGCCTTCAGCTGACCTGAGCTCATTAGAGTTTTTCATTAAATAAATGCAGCCTTGGTGAGACTTCTTTCAAAAACATTATTTTTGAAAGAATTATAAAAATACTACCAAACCCAAATTTTTGAACTACCTATTATTTAACGTAATTTTAACCTAGCATGAAAAGTAGAGTTTGGTCCATGCATCTCCCTCCTACCCCTAATTTAATTTTTATTTATGTATTTATTTATTTATTTTGGCCTGTCCCACCTTGAAGGTCATCTTGACTTTGGCTGTCTTCAGTAATTAAAATCATAAAAAAAATTAATTTTATATGCCCTATTGAACAGATATGCGAGGGAGGGAGGAAATGATAACGAATAACTGTTCTCAGCCGAGGCTGCCTCCCTGTGGGCACTGGCAAAGCATGCTGGGAGGGACTCAGACCCCTGCAGTGAGCAAGAAGGAAACCCCTCACATGCACTGAGCGTTTTAGCCCCCGAGCTGTGAGTGGACAAAAACAATGGTGCTCTGAATCATTTGCCACACATCATTGTGCTGTAGTTATGTCACGTTGACTGTTGAATCTTTTTTCCCTCTGGTTGCTCAAGAACAGTTATTCTTGTTTTTCACTTTTTACCCGCTTCCTCTCTCAAAACATTGCCTTCAGCTGACCTGAGCTCATTAGAGTTTTTCATTAAATAAATGCAGCCTTGGTGAGACTTCTTTCAAAAACATTATTTTTGAAAGAATTATAAAAATACTACCAAACCCAAATTTTTGAACTACCTGTTATTTAACGTAATTTTAACCTAGCATGAAAAGTAGAGTTTGGTCCATGCATCTCCCTCCTACCCCTAATTTAATTTTTATTTATGTATTTATTTATTTATTTTGGCCTGTCCCACCTTCGTGATCTTGACTTTGGCTGTCTTCAGTAATTAAAATCATAAAAAAATTTAATTTTATATGCCCTATTGAACAGATATTTAGCAGTCAGTGCATTTCAGAATTTAAACGTTATCTGAAAACTTGAGGGGAAAAGCTGACCATGTATTGGATGAAGTGAATGCATGAATGCATTTACAGTCTCCTGGAGTGTGAAAGTCATTATCTGTGCTTGAGGTGATGTATTAAAGCTGACAGACCAAACATAGTAACAGTGGAAGACGTGGTTGTGTTTTCAACCAGCTTGCACGTGTAAGGTCTTGTGTTACAGGACCCGTCCTCACACATGCCCAAGTAGGAATTCCTCCCCTAGGAAGGCAGTGTTTTGAAAACACTGAGTCTTTGCCAGGAAAATATATATGGGTGTAATTTCCTGTTCTTTTAGGGTACAAAATTGTGCACCCTCTTTATGAAGCTTGATGTCTTTAATACCACCATCTTCCACCATAGACCGTTTATGTGTCCGTGATTTCTTGAGAAATGGAAACACACAGAGCCGAACCCCCTCAAGGCATCGCTCCATGTGGAGAATGCCTTTTATGTAAGGCTTCTTTAAAAGGTTCCTTTCACGCCGCATCACCAACCACTCGAAAACTGCATTACATAACTGCAGCTGTATGGAAAATATGAGCTCTGTATTGTTTATGACAGAACTAATGATTGTACAGTTCAGGTACAAAAAGAGAACCCATTAAGATAATGTGTTACTACCTTTTACAGCAGCACGCTTAGGATTTAAAGTGTTTTGCACCAGTTTAACAATCGATATCATTCATTTTGTCACTATATCCTGTAATGTTCATCAAAACACACCACACACATGGTTTTCACATACTCTCTCTGTCATGCAGTGATTGACCTGGTGCACTGGCGGGACCCTAAGAAGTCAGGCGTGGTGTTTGGCGTGTCGCTGCTGCTGCTGCTTTCTCTGGCAGCGTTTAGCGTGATCAGCGTGGTCTCCTACCTGCTGCTGGCCCTGCTCTGTGTTACTATCTCTTTCCGCATCTACAAGTCTGTCATCCAGGCTGTGCAGAAGTCCAACGAAGGACACCCCTTCAAGTAAGAGTAATGTTTTGGCCTGCTATGTGTCATATCAATAGATATATACTAAAATTTCGGCAATCGAAAATATTCAGCATCAAATGAATTTTCAGTTGTGGACGGAATTGTGATGTTTACTTAATTTTTAATTTCTCAGATTGGCACGTTTTTATTTTTATTTTTATTTTTTTACTGTTTTTACATGTTCTCTTCATGTTTGAATAAATCTGCCATGAAAATAATATTTTGTTACAGTCACTGTTTACATGTTTATATTTCAACAATGAATTGGAGTATATACATAATTATATACTGTAATTAAAGTTGCTAAAAAAAACTGCCTTGTGTGCAATTTAAATGTTTATATGCAGCTCAGTTTTTATTTGAGTGTTGATTTATTAAATGTGATTTAATTAATTGACTGTTAAACTTTTTCTTTTGAGTTTTTAATTGAATTAACTAAACTTTAATTTCAGTTTCAGTTCAAAAATGTGGTGCTTCACTCTATATATGTAACTTAATATTATCTTATTATTAATATAATGTTTATTTATTGTAATGAAAGTATAATTCATATATTTAATAATTAATTGTTATTATAATTTGCTGTCTGTGCATATTAAGCTGGGTTAGGAGAAAGTATTTTAACCAAAAACTTCACCTTTACACTTCACCTTTAACATTATAGGTCCATTTGGCACTTTAATGTTAGTCTCTGTGTTAGTAAGTGCTGTTTTGAGTGCAGTGGTGGTCAGAGGTGTGTGGGTATGTGGTGGAGCAGGGCTAATTGGGTTGACCCATGTGCCTGTGGCAGGGCTCTGATGGAGAAAGATGTCACTGTGCCCCCCGAGACCTTCCGCAAGCACGTGGACCTCTGTCTCACCCACGTCAACCGTGTACTCAAGCAGATGAGCCGCCTCTTTCTGGTCGAGGATCTGGTGGATTCCCTCAAGGTCAGGACCAGCAATTATAAATGCTGTGATTTAAAGTGATAGTTCACCCAAACATTCTTTCAGAATGTATTCACCTATATGTTGTTCAAAACATTTATGACTTTCTTCTGTGTACAAAAACTGGATATTTTAAAGTACACTTAGGTCCTTTGCATACAACAGGTTTATATTGACTTTTAAGCTCCAAAAATGACAAAAGGCAACAAGGAGCATTTATTTCTTCCTGTATTAGCTGTAGGATTTTTATTTAAACATTGCAGTCACTTCAAAATTTATTAAAATAATTGTGTTCTTAGGCGTTCTGTTCTTTTGTCCCACATTACCTTCTGATTTCAGCTGGCAGTGGTTATGTGGCTGCTGACATATGTTGGAGCGGTCTTCAATGGCATCACTATCCTCATCCTCGGTAGGCCGAATGTTCCACTTTTAGCATCGCACTTAAATTTGAGGTGTA